AGAGATCAATATTCAAATAATATTTGATCTGCACGGAGAGATCAATGTTCAGCATAAATTTGATCGCACGAAACGATCGTCGGACAAGAGTTTTTTTATACCCGATATTTCTCGGTTGAACAAGCGTGTGAGGTCACTAATTACAAATTAAATCTTTAATGATGATTACCTATGTTTAATATAATTAAAGGGGGAGGGGGGGGGGGGCGGTGATAGAAGATATCGATAGAGGAAAGGTTTTGATGGAGTATTCTTATTAAAATCCAATCTAAACTTGAACCCATTCATCTCCATTCAGGTTCAATTTAGTGCCCAGGCCATACACCTTCAATCCTTAGTACATTCTACATTTTACAAACATTATCTTTAATTCTTATATTTGTACATGTACATGATACACAACACAATACACCTTCAATCCTTAGTACATTCTACATTTTACAAACATTATCTTTAATTCTTATATTTGTACATGTTACATTGTACATGATACATAAAACCATACACCTTCAATACTTAGTAATTCTACATTTTACAAACAGTATCTTTAATTCTTATATTTGTACATGTACATGATATTTCAATTCTTACACCTTCAATATTTAGTACATTCTACATTTTACAAACATTATCTTTAATTCTTATATTTGTACATGTACATGATACAAAACACAATACACCTTCAATATTTAGTAATTCTACATTTTACAAACATTATCTTTAATTCTTATTTTTGTCCATGTACATGATACACAACACAATACACCTTAAATATTTAGTAATTCTACATTTTACAAACATTATCTTTAATTCTTATATTTGTACATGTTACATTGTACATGATACATAAAACCATACATCTTCAATACTTAGTACATTCTACATTTTACAAACATTATCTTCAATTCTTATATTTGTATATGTACATGATACATAACACCAATAGACCGTCAATCCTTAGTACATTCTACATTTTACAAACAGTATCTTTAATTCTTATATTTGTACATGTACATGATATACAACACAATACACCTTCAATACTTCGTTATTCTACATTTTACAAACAGTATCTTCAATTCTTATATCTGTACATGTACATGATATACAACACAATACACCTTCAATATTTAGTAATTCTACATTTTACAGACATTATCTTTAATTCTTATATCTGTACATGTACATGATATACAACACAATACACCTTCAATACTTAGTACATTCTACATTTTACAAACAGTATCTTCAATTCTTATACCATACACATTCAATACTTAGTAATTCTACATTTTACAAACATTTTCTTTAATTCTTATATTTGTACATATTACATTACATGACACATAAAACCATACACCTTCAATACTTAGTACATTCTACATTTTACAAACAGTATCTTTAATTCTTATATTTGTACATGTACATGATACACAACACCTATACACCTTCACAATACTTAGTAATGTTCAGCTACATTTTACGAACAGTATCTTTAATTCTTATATTTGTACATGTACATGATACTTAACATGTAACATATACGTTTTCCTTTCACATTTATTCTTTTTAAATATTTGATTTACGTAATTTTAAAATGACGTGCCTGGGTTACATTGGCACCATTTTATCTTAATCAAACTAATGAGATATCTTTGCTTTTCTATCTAAAATTTTATCTTATCTTTTTATTTACATATTCTTCTAAGCTTCTGGTTTATTATTTTACCGTTTCATATTTGTTAAGAAATATTTTGATTATTTTAGACTTAAAATAACGCTAAAACTCTCTTCTTCTGTAAAATATAGGGGTGTCCCATCCAATAAACATGTTAATATAGGGGTGTCCCATCCAATAAACATGTTAATATAGGGGTGTCCCATCCAATAAACATGTTAATTAAGAGAGTGCTTTAAAATGCCGGGTTTATTATCGACATGAGAGGTGTCAATTTAATGTGTTTTTTCGCTCAAACACACTCCAACACTCGAACATTCACACGGCAATTTAAAAATGTTAAAAGTAGAACAGTAGAAGAATAATAAAGCCGAGATAAATGATATTTAGTGTAGAGATCTATTAAAGATAAGAGACAGGGCGGCGAAATACAAAAGATACCAGATATTTCAAATGTTTGTTCGTCGGTCAAACTGTCCGTTTGTGAGTTAACCTCTTGAGGGTCCTTTATGTTAAAGTTTGTCAGAGAGGTTGTTCACTGTATTATACTAAACAGAAATATTTTTTTCGATCTTTTCTACATTGTGGTTTTATGGAGTTAATTAAACTAAACTTTCTTGGTCAAGTAAATCAGTTAATTCTAACTTTTTGATATTCAATAATTTCACTTTCTAATATTTATATATCTCACTGTCGAACAAAGATGGATCTTGCTGTCTAGTATTTATGGATCTCACTTTCTAATATTTATGGATCTCACTGTCTAATATTTATGGATCTCACTGTCTAATATTTATATATCTTACTGTCTAATATTTATGGATCTTACTGTCTAATATTTATGGATCTTATTGTCTAATATTTATGGATCTCACTGTCTAATATTTATGGATCTCACTGTCTAATATTTATGGATCTCACTGTCTAATATTTATGGATCTCACTGTCTAATATTTATANGAAATCCAACGTATAGAAATCCAACGTATAGAAATCCAACGTATAGAAATCCAACGTATAGAAATCCAACGTATAGAAATCCAACGTATAGAAATCCAACGTATAGAAATCCAACGTATAGAAATCCAACGTATAGAAATCCAACGTATAGAAATCCAACGTATAGAAATCCAACGTATAGAAATCCAACGTATAGAAATCCAACGTATAGAAATCCAACGTATAGAAATCCAACGTATAGAAATCCAACGTATAGAAATCCAACGTATAGAAATCCAACGTATAGAAATCCAACGTATAGAAATCCAACGTATAGAAATCCAACGTATAGAAATCCAACGTATAGAAATCCAACGTATAGAAACCCAACGTATAGAAATCCAACGTATAGAAACAAGGTATAGCAACAAGGCGTATTTTCCGGGAGAATTTTTTTGTTATATTTGTAAGAAATAAAACGTTTTAGAAAAAATTGTAGCTTATCATTATCATTATCATTATTTCTATTTTTTAACATACCCTAGACACTATACAACTAACTAGATTAATATGTACTGCTCTCTATTGTGTTAAAGGTCCCCCAGATTTTATTATGAACTGATAACATAAATGAATGATTATATGTTTACAGAAAATTTCATGTTACTATTAAAAAAAAATATTTAATGAAAATGATATGTGCATTTTATTTTTAAAAAAAATTTCTCAAAAATATTGAAAAAAAGTTCTCCAGTAATGCTAATATTATTTCATAAAATTCCGTTTAACCATTTAAATATAAGGATTTTATGAAAATTATATCTACTTTACAATGATTATTTAATTTCTCAAAAATATAAAAATTTTTTAATTCGGTGATGGCGATGGATCAAACCTCTGTAGAGTAAAAAAAAGTAGATGTTAGTTCCACATTTATTGAAAATATATTTCTGTCTGGGTTAACCCTCGTCAGTTCTTGAGATTGTTTCTGTCACAAATGTTCTCCCGGAAAATACGCCTTGTTGCTGTACCTAGCGATTTCTACACGTTGGATTTCTAAACGTTGGATTTCTAAACGTTGGATTTCTATACACTGGATTTCTATACATTGGATTTCTATACGTTGGATTTCTATAGGTTGGATTTCCATACGTTGGATTTCAAGGGAAGTTGGATTATTTGAGGATGTTCCAGTTTACTTCTACAGGTAAGCAAGAATGTAAGAAATAAGACTCCAAGGTCGTCTCTGAAGTCTCACCCTTTATGAGTAACCCTATACCCTATAACTGAAGACTAGAATTTCAAAGATTCTGCATATTATTAAAATGATGGTTTTGAAATAGAAACATAATGGACATGACTAGTATTCCCCCTCTTGTCCTTAGCATGTAATATATACATCTCCAATAAGGGTTACCAAAAAAATTTAACTTTTAAATATTTCTAATTTTATCTACAGGTTTTTAATTACATGAACAGAAAATATAATTCTTAGCTTAATTTTTTTTATATGAACACCCTGAATATACCTGACTTCTTCTAATGATATCGATAATTTAGTTGAGTTATACTTTATCTCTTCTTCCTTTTATATTTAACAGTACAATATTTTATTATTAGACAAGATTTTTCTAAACAGTTCAAGTTTCAATTAAGTTCAAAGGTACATGGAATAAGAGTTACATTGCCTGAGATCAAAATTAAAGAATTTGAGCGGCGGCTTAAATTTAAGCCGCTGCTCAAATATGGTTGGTTTCACTTAAAATTGTTTCAAGATTTAAGCCGGCGCTTAATTGAGACCGGTTTTTGGCGGATTTAAGACGCGGCTTAAATTCATTAAATTTGGGCACTGAATACGTTCAGATCAGAATCGCTTTTGTCATTAATCTCAGCTGCTATACGATACACTAGCCTGTCGCCATAATGGTTACATTTCCCAGAATTTTGTCATTTTACATACAGGACTATTAAATGCACAAAAATAAGACTTAAGGTATTTAAGGTATATATTCTTCTACAAAAAAAATTGAATTTAGTCTTAAATAAAGTCTTAAGTAAAATTAATGATTTAGTAAAGAAATAAGTTGACAGCTGCAGGAAACCAAGAATATTTGACAAAAGACAAAATAATTTTCGTTATACACTCGTCTCTGAAGTCTAATTCTTTGTGTGTAAGGCTGAAGTCTAAAACTATATTTATTATTTTATATGTAAATTTTTCATGAAAACTTGAAAACCCAAACTATGGAAATTCATACAAGAATTTGTACGCCAAAAATATGAGAAGAAACGGATAATTTTTAGTTATTTCTAAACAAAAAACATTTTCCTTCAAAAAATGTCAACAACAAAAATGAGCTACAATAATATTTCTTTATTACAGAATACAGCCATGGACGGATTCAAATTCATTTCTAAAGATCAACTTGAAGGTATTATATTTAAGGGTAATAAAAGTCGATGAATAAAGTTTTAATGAATCAGACGGATTAAGGTTTAACTGGAGAGTTATGAAAAGAGAAAAAACTAATTTTCATAATCATACATGAACAATGAACATTTCTTAAAATGTTGTTGAGCTATTTGTTTGCACCAAAAACTTTAAAAGTAAAGGTTTTCTGTAATGTTTGAATATAATGGTTTTTGTGTAACAAAGATAGAATCCTAACACAATAATGTATATGTAACACAAAGAAAATCTCAGTTTCTTTCAATGAATTGAAAATAAGACGAATTACAGCTTGATAGGAGGAAATTTTATCAATACAATGAAGCTTTTTATCAATTATATCAAGCTTTTAAACAGCAAGTATACACATAAACATGGAAACAAGGAGAAGCTGTCGATTAAAAAAGCTTCTCTTTAATAACTTGTAAACTTGTAATTCGAAAAACCTTGTAAACAATTAAAACTTAAATAAAAAAGCCTTCTTCATTATATTAATATAATCGCCTACCACTGTTTTAAAATAATTCCTACGATTTTGAATGTATATAACAATTAAAGCAAACCTCATTTTGGAAATACCATCAACGGGGTTAATGGTGTACACTTGCAAGTTTCATCTAATAGCCAAAACGGAGTAATCTTTTAAGTCCTATACATTAGATCTTTATTAGATCTTAAACATTTATCTCAGAATTGAAGAGCAAACATAAAAATACTAAGATTTGAATAAATAAAGGTTAGGTAAAGTATAAAAATTAATATTTATTTATTTCTCAGATGCAAACCTTGTGTGTGGAATATCTCGGGTAGAAAGTATGCTTCAGGTAAGACAGTTTTGATACGATGTTAAATGTCGTCTTATTTATAATATTTTACTTTAATTCCAGGAAGAAGACACTGAAGGATTGAAGAGTGCGAGAGGATTATTGATGGAGATTTATGGGAAAATAGAAAATCTAAACTTTGATTTAGGTTATAAGTAGTTTTAATTAAGAATTACAATTACCAATAAATACTTCCCTCGACTAAACCTAATTTCAAAGTTTCGAAAAAAATCTTGAGAAGAAGTAATTCAAATCATATTTGAGATATGGTTTGCACTGGATAATAAATAAACCATAATTTTAAATTAAAAAAAAAACAAAAATGTGTATTGCATAAATTGTTGAAATTTCTTCATGTTTCTTAAAAACTGTTATTGAATAAATCCAAGGTATTCTACAGGGTGTCCCACGAAACATGACAATTGGTAAATAGTTATGAAAGTCGTCTTTCATATACTTTATTAGATAATAAAGAAAAGCTTTTTGCAGTTATTTGTTAAAATAATCTTTTTTTGAAACATATTTTACTTTGAAACCAGTTTTACTATAACTCCCATATAATATTTGTATTATTGTCTTTGGTATCAAACGGTGGATTCTCATTTGAACTACTGCCGTTTGAACTATGGTACATTTGAACTATTGTTCGTTTGAACTATTGTTCATTTGAACTACTGACTTGACGTCGTATCCTGTAGTTTAAATCAATACATTTCTTGCTCATTTGAACTATTTTTCTACCCCAATTCAGTTATAAATTTTTTTTTGTATAATTCCCATAAAGTTATAGAATTCATTTTTGTCACATTTTAACAAATTTTTTGTCCATTTGAACTATTTTGATGTCCATTTGAACTATTTTTTATCCATTTGAACTATTTTCATTGTCCATTTAAAATATTTTTTTTTGTGTATTCGAACTATTTTTTTTGTTCATTTCAACAAATTTTTTTTTCATTTGAACTATTTCTTTGTCCATTCGAACTATTTTTTTGTCCATTTGAACTATTTTTTTGTTCATTTAAACTATTTTTGTGTTCATTTGAACTATTTTCATGTCCATTTCGAACTATTTTTATGTCCATTTTAACTTTTTTTGTCATTTTCATTCGAATTATATTTTTTTCTTATTTGAGGTATTTTTTTCATTTTTGAACTATTTCATTTGAACTATTTTTAAGTTCATTTGAACTATTTTTTTGTTCATTTAAACTATTTTTGTGTTCATTTGAACTATTTTTTTGTTCATTTGAATTGTTTTTATGTCCATTTGAACTATTTTAATGTTCATTTGAACTATTTTTTTGTTTATTTCATTTAAAATATTAATAGTTCAAATGAAATGAAAAATAGTTCAAATGAGCAATATATTTACTCGTTTGAACTATTGTTCATTTCAACTATACTCACGTGGTACCACGTGCAGTAGTTGAAATGAACATTAGTTCAAATGAACAATAGTTCAAACGGGAATAGTTCAAATGAGATAGCATCTATCAAACAACTTAACAAATTATGGAAGAAGACATTCTAAACTATTCACCAACTGACATGTTTCGTGGGACACCCTGTAGTAAAAACTTAAACAAGATGAGGTCTAATCTTATTTTCAAATAATCCGAATCGAATGATTCAATCTAATATTCATTAATTTTAACTTCTCAGAGAGAACCTGGCACGCGGAGCTTCTAAAGACTGTGATACATTTATACCAAGGGATAATATCAATGCATCTCGGAGAACTTCCTAATACAGAGAATGAACTCAAGGATTGAAACTAAAAATTGTCTTTCTCCTAGGCCTGATTAATGTCAACTTATTCTGTATGACCTAGTCATATATATTGTCACTCACTGTAAAAACTGTTATAAAACGAACTCAAATACGACGACCTAAACCTGTTAACTCTCATCCTTTGAGGATAACCCTGTAGTTGGTCTTAAGATCTTTAGTTTCTTCTGGTTCAGACTGCTCTGGTGTCCCTTCCACTCCCGGCCCTGAACCCGGTCTGTATCAACGTGTTCCTGCGGATACAGAACGAGTTAGGAAACCTATGGTTGGAGCGGGATGAGTCGGAGATGTCCAGCACTGCGTTCTTGAACACGGAGAAGGCAGCTAGAGAGTTTCTATCATTCGGAGACGATCCTTACTCAATTAAAGTAAATTAAACTTTTCTTTTTCTCTGAATGAGAAAATAATGATGAATATGTTCAGGATCTGTTCAACCCGGAGCTAGGTTCTCTCCTACCCAGTGGTATACTAGAGCTAAAGGATCTTCATAACTATGCTCTGATAAACCTAGCAGAAATAAAGGTAGATATCAGGTTGCTCAGGGAATTTTTTCAACTTCGAGTTTGAATTTAAATTTTTTTAAACATTTCCCTGTAAACCAAAGTATTCACACTCTCACGCAATAATAAAATCAGGAATTTGCCAATAACTCTTTAACTAGTGACAGTTTTAAACTCAACATTAATGAGACAAAATTGATGAAGGTCAAGGTGTTGCAACACTTTAAAGTCGAACCGTGGATGCCTAATTTTTAATAATTGTCTGGATCAATGTGATTTTTCAAATATATTTTTAAAATTAGATTCTCATAAAAAATTTAAACTTGAAATAAAATGATTTGAAAATCTTTTTTAAAACAATCTTTCAGTTTCCCAGACTATTTTAGCCGCAAAATTAAAAAACTTCTAAAAATATTCTATTTTCTAGGGAAGAAGTGAAAGAAATGATCTGGTTTTGATGCACCGAAACCTGGAGAAAATACTGATTGAAGGACGGATACCGGAGGGAGTTCAACCTCAAACCCTAGTTCTTAAACTCATCCAAGAGTTTTTAGCTAAAAAGAAATTTAAAATTGGTAAATATGATCAACTTCAAAACAAATTGAAAAGAAAATAATCAACTTATTACAAAAATTATTCATTTAAAAAAATCTGTTTCAAAAAACTTCATTTTACGCATAAATATCAACCTTTCCTTGACGCTAGAAAGCCAAGAGCTTCTAAAAAATGAGGAGTAAAATGTTATCCAAGCCAATAATGACCTGACCAAAATAGAAAAAATTATTTAATAAAAAATCATTCTTTGTTTATTGTTACTCTCTGATCATATATTACTATTTGATCAGCTCGTCAGTACCTCGCAGCACTGGATTATATGAATGAGAAAATACTGAAGAAAGATCAACAGGTATGCAGTATTTATTATGGTGTATCCAGTATTTAGTATTCGGTATTCTAAATTCAGTATATAGTATATAGTATCCAGAATCCAGTATCAAGTTTTCAGTATCCGACATTCCAAATTCAGTATATAGTATACAGAATACAGTATCCAGTAAGCAGTATCCGGTATTCCAAATCCAGTATTTAGTCTTCGGTATACAGTATGCAGTATTTATTTGGTATCCAGTAAACAAAACCGAATGTATTTTAACTGATTTTCTTGTTAAAAATTAATAACCATAAATATAAATTCCATGGGTCACCCAGAGAGAATTAGACTTTATAAACGACAAGTGCATAAATCCTAATAAAAACGATTCCAGAAACGTGGTTGAACCGTCTTTAGACCTGGCTCAAATTAATTAAATCCGTTCCAAGGTTGTCCCTTGGAAAGTCTTATCCTCTCTTGGCGAAGAGTAACTTACTCTACCTATTTATATAAATATGAAATGGTTAATTTCTTCAAAGATACAAATTTTTATTTTTGGAAGGAAACATTTGGAATCATAATACAATGGGACCCATAAAATTGTATTTTATTATTTCAGCTTAAAATGTTTAGGTTTGTCTACTTCATGTGGTTTTCTACCAAGGTCTACTGGTCTCTTCGGTAGATAAGTTTCAGGTCTGTATGTAGAGCTTAGGATCCATTTACAGTTTGTAAAAATGAAACTGAATCAAGGTCCTACATATTTTTCTAAAAGATTTACACATTTCCTTTGTAAAATAAAAAATCCCGTATATTTTTTGGGAAATTTTTTTTCATAGAAGGCTCACCATTTTCTTTCATCTGAGTCTTTACCACAAACTCTACATCTTTGCTACCCAATGTTATTTGAATCTAAATAATTTAAGTTTTTTTGTGGCAATGACTCCATACCTTTGTTTAATAATACTAATAACCTAGACTTGTTTAGGAACGGAAGCGGGTTCTGGTAATCCAGAGAGCAGTGAGCAACGAGGATAACCTTTTCATTTTCTCGGTTTGTTTTCAATTCACGTTTAAGATATTCAGTTTGGTTTGATTTAAGATATTCGGTTTGGTTTAAGATATTCAGTTTGGTTTGGTTTCAGACATTCGATTTTGTTTGGTTTAAGATATTCTGTTTTGTTTGATTTAAGATATTCTGTTTTGATTGGTTTAAGACATTCTGTTTTGTTTGGTATAAGATAATCTGTTTTGTTTGGTTTAAGATATTCGGTTTAAGATATTCTGTTTTTTTGGTTTAAGATATTCGGTTTTGTTTGGTTTAAGATATTCGGTTTTGTTTGGTTTAAGATATTCGGTTTTGTTTGGTTTAAGATATTCAGTTTTGTTTGGTTTGAGATATTCGGTTTAAGATATTCTGTTTTGTTTGGTTTAAGATATTCGGTTTTGTTTGGTTTAAGATATTCTGTTTTGTTTGGTTTAAGATATTTGTGACCTCCTCCCACTCCAAAACCCAAGTGACCTCCTCCCGCTCCCAAACCCAAGTGACATCCTCCCACTCCCCAAACCCAAGTGACCTCCTCCAACTCCCAAACCCAAGTGACCTCCTCCCACTCCCCAAACCCATGTGACCTCCTCCCACTCCCAAACCCAAGTGACCTCCTCCCACTCCCAAACCCAAGTGACCTCATCCCACTCCCCAAAACCCAAGTGACCTCCTCCCACTCCCCAAACCCTAGCGACTTAATTAAATTAGGTCGCAATATTTGTTAATATTGTTATTTCAATGATTAAGACTTTTATATGTTTAAAAATTGAAAGTTTAATCCCATTGCAACGGACATCCGACACTGGGCCCGATTACTAATTTCAATCCCCAATTATCATCTAAAGCGCCTTTGCTGCAATTTTAGATGGTAATTGGTTGCTGCCCTGTTGGATTTCAATATATAACATATGCATTTCAGTATTATACATAGTATATGAGCAAATGTTTGCTAATGAAGCAAAACATTGATAAACTAAATGTTTGCCAATAAAAAATGTCTATATGGTCGGAACTTTAGTGTGGAGCATTGTCTGGAGATAGGATTTAGTAATCGGAACTGAGGATTCGGGATTTAAAATTTAGGAACATGGTCAGGATCAGGATTATGATCAATGGTTAAAACAGGGTAATTGGACTCAGGATCAAAAACAGGATAGGAAACGATCAGGTTTTAGAATCCGAATAACTTTAGGAATTGGGATAGGGATTCAAGATTTATGATTTGGTGTTCAGGATAAAGGTTTGGGATTATGGATTTAGGTATAAGATGGGGTGAGGAATGATGATTACCTTATTTGAGAACTCACTCTACCCTATTATAACATATCGGTGTAGGAAAAATTTCCATCTTGATCAAAGACTTCCTTCAAAGCCTCTAGGTTTTATATTCTTACTTTCTTTGGTTCATTTCTAACCCATAGATTATACTTTTTGAACTGCTTAACTCTTACTACTCCAGGTCCCTGCTACAACAGTAATAAGAGAATTCGAATCTAGATACTTGGATACACCTGGCAGAGAGTATACGGATACAAGGTAGGAGCAGTCTGGTTAGGTAGATTAGAGAGTATACGGATACAAGGTAGGAACATTATGGTTAGGTAGACTAGAGAGTATACGGATACAAGGTAGGAACAGTCTGTTTAGGTAGACTAGAGAGTATACGGATACAAGGTAGGAACAGTCTGGTTAGATAGAGACTAGAGAGTATACGGATAAAAGGTAGGAATAGTCTGGTGACTTAGAGACTAGAGAGTATACGGATACAAGGTAGGAGCAGTCTGGTTATGTAGAATAGAGAGTATACGGATACAAGGTAGGAACAGTCTGGTTAGGTAGACTAGATAGTATACGGATACAAGGTAGGAACAGTCTGGTTAGGTAGACTAGAGAGTATACGGATACGAGGTAGGAACAGTCTGGTTAGGTAGACTAGAGAGTATACGGATACAAGGTAGGAGCAGTCTTGTTAGGTAGACTAGACAGTATACGGACTTAGGTACAGGGTATCCCAATGAACATGAAAATTAAATTCATTATACAGGGTGTCCCATGTTTATTGGGACACCCTGTAGGATCAGTCTGGTTAAATAAAATCCAATGTTTTGATCGTCAATTGATTCTTTTTCCAATAAAGAGGGGAATCAGATGTGCAGCATGATTTTTTTTTGAAATCTGATCATGAACCTAACTTTGTACGTATTCTGTACCTAGACCAATCTTCATAACTGGACGGAACCTGGGTCAGAAGCTACTACTCTCTTTGGAAACAGGTAATTTTGATACCGGGACACTAGATATAGGATTAAATTTCAGATGCCTTTACATCACAACATAACACAAAACTCGACAAAACAGTTGATTTTATTAAATTATACGAAACTTGGCTTTTATCTTCTACAGGGTGTCCCAATAAACATGGGAATTCAGTGACGAATTCGATGTAGTCTTTTCAAATAATTCTTTGATTTAGTATGGTGATACCTACTGAGAAAGCTGTAATCTGTAAGAGTTTCGTCTGCTATGTTCACATTTTGTTTGTTTATGTTTTGACTGCATACGTGTACTTAGTAATTAACAAAAAAATTGCAGTATACAAACAGAGTAAACTTGACCGTCTTCACTGTTCATCTTGCGGAGACATTATAGACTCATCTTTACAGTCTTTTACCCTTTTCATTAAAAAAACTCTAGCAGACATAATAATATTGGCTTATGAAATTGGGTATTACAATGCTAATTCATAACAAAGACGATATCGAATTCGTCACTGAATTCCCATGTTTTTTGGGACACCCTGTATTTTTAACTTTTAATTGTGGTACTACTTGAGAGCATCTTCTTTTTGTACAATGTAACAAAAAAAGTTCGCGGATATAAATTTATTTTGCACATTTCAGAATTTAACAAAATCCAAAAACTATTGGACACAAGCTTTTGTAATTAGCATCAATAAACCTTTCTTGCAGTCATGTGAGGTCTCGCACAAAATTTGGGCCCGATCGGTTCAGCCGTTTTGACGTTGATCAGATACAAACAGACAGACAAGCAAAGTATATTTACGAAATATTATAACCAATCGTTCTTTCTTTACTTCTCAAATCATTAATGATTCAACATTTTGCTTAGTGTAGGAAACAAACAATAAATATACACAATTTTTAAATCTGCTCAATGTCTCAGATTTTCGTAACGCCTTCTAAAAATGGTTTCTATTATAAAGAAAGAATAAAAAAAAGCCACCTTCCATACATTGATACATCGAGAAATATATATATCTAGAAATACAATTTTCAATCATTTTCTTATTTAAATCTTTCAAAATTAAAAAAAGGCCAACATAAAAGACGCAGAGCGCTATGTGAGCTCAGGCGCGAAGCTAGACGTTAAGCACGGGGGGGAGGGCAATTCTATTTTTTTGCCCTCCCCCCTAAACATTTCTGGGGGGGGGGGGGGGGGGCAAGAAATATGTGTATTATACTCAACCATGAAAAAACTACCAATTACCAATTCAGGATATTTTCGGCGAAATTTTTTTTATTTGGGGGCACTCATTCTGTTTGGGGCAAATTTGTGTGGGAAAAATCAACTATTTTTAACTATATAATAAAACAAGACATCCGTATATATATATATGTTGCCTATAGCTGGCCAAACGGCTGGACCGATTGGGCTGAAATTTTGTGGACATTCAAGGGTGGCCGGGGGATGTTATAGGCTAAAAAATCGAATTTTTCTTCAACATTTTTTTTGCTCGGGCAACGCAGGGCCTTTCAGCGAGTAATATATAATTTGATATATGTTTGTTGGGGCAAAACTTCTTTATTTAGCAGTATCTAAAAAAGAATAAGGGTCATTTTTAAGATATGGCTGTAAATCCTTAATTTAGTTGATTTTATAAAACATTTGTGGATAAAAAAATTTAAATTTAGGTGCAAATTAAAAATATTTGGTTTCATTTAAAAAACGAAGGGTCACAAATGTTGAATAAAGGGACAAAATAAAGTCTGGTAGGGCAATTTGAATAAGAATGTGTGACTGTAAGTGTAATTTTAAAAATCCAAATTTGGGGGCATTTTTGAAAGAAAGGGGGAAGATAAAATTTGAGTTTGCATAAAGAGTGAAGGTTTGAAAAAAATTGAGGACTTCTTGCCCCCCCTTCCACAAGCTTTCTTAAGGTTGGGGTTTGCCCCCCCCCCNGGGGGGGGGGGGGGGGGGCTGCACCAGCTATTGAACAAATTTTGCAGCATTGAAATAAGCAAAATGTGATATTTCTTGGTTTCCATTTTGCTAATTTATAACAGTTCAATGAATGAAGCAGAGCTTTCTAACATTATTCTAAAAAGAATCTGTTTTATAATTTCTGATCCTCTCTGTAAATCTTGATAAATCTTGTTAAAACCTATTAACTAGGAGATGATTTTGAGACCAGGGTGAAGATCGTTCTTATACTCAGCAATATGTACAAATGTATTGGTAAGAACACAGTTTATTTGTTTTAATTTAATTTATGGTCACTGACCTCAAATTTAGAAAAACCACTGGACATAATTTTGAATATATTTGTATTACAGGGGTTTTGCTTTATGATAAGATTGGAAATATTGAAATTTTATCAAAAGTTTCAAAAATCCAGCGAAGAAGAGTAGGATTACTAGAGAAATGTTTAGATGGCCTGGATGTTAAAAAGCATAGGTACATAAACCTTTATATTTTTCCACTAAAAGTTAAAAGAGAATATCAAGGGAGCCTCTATATAAAGAGTTTCATACCCGATTCACAACGATACCATTTATGCTTTTAACTCAGTAGCCATGCGGGTAATATCGTCTTTATTACTTTAAATTTGGGTTTAAGATAAATAAAAATATCTCCGACAAAGGTTAAAAAGGGTATCGTTGTTAATAGAGCATGCATGTAAACTATCTACATGGAAGGTTACATAACATCAGCTGTCCCTGTAATTTTAGCCAGGTGACAATTAGTGAGGACTGCAAAAAGTTCAGCCCGTGTTATTTCCAATCAGGTTTCCACTGTTTTAAGGTTTGTGACTTGAACTTCTTAATTCGGCGTTTTTTCGCTCTTTGATGTTTCTGTTCTTTTAAGTGTCCTAAATCTTTCCAGGAGTAAGGTTGAGGAGTTGAGTCTCCAACTGGGAGAGATCTACATGGAGCTGCTGGAGCTGAAGCAGAAGAAGTTTGAGAGAACTGCTGATAATCTGGATCCGCATCTCGTTAAGAAAATGGTGATTTCAGTCTAAAATTTAGATTCGGAAAGATAGATTTTTAGATTTTTCGGCTCAATGTTGTTTTAAACTAGGCCAACATAATAAAATTATCGAAAATGAATTTGATAAATATAAAATCAAATCTAAGGCTGTTGTACTTTCGATTTGAACGCATTTTCAAACAAAAACTAAAAACAATATCCTCCCAAAATGCTTGTACTCCAACCTTAACAACGTTTCTTTGACGAGCCACTGAAAAAAAAACAATAGTGACATAGAGAACAGATACTTTTTGTTAGTCACTAAACAAATTATGTAATATTATATATCTTTTCAGGTTAATTTGTGCCTCCAGGGGATACAACATTGCAAATCCTGCATCTTATCTCTACCAAGCATAGATTCACATCCACATATGAATAAAGGAGACATGTGTATCCTTGCCCAGATTCTTCAGATTGAGTCTCAAGTAGGACCTGGAGCACTGCCAGTTCGTCCTCTGAAAATTCCAGAACGGTTTCCTCCGGGCTGTGTCGGAGAAGGGATTAAAGCATTGTTCTTAATCGGTAGATTTTACAACAAACTGTTTACTCCGAACAGGTGACTGATACATCGATTATCATTCTTTACTGATAGTAGATATTAAATATTTTTGTTCAGGAATGATCAACCTCTGTTCACAAAGCTAGCAATCCTTCATTATCAGCTGATCGAAGCATATTGTAGAAGGCAAGATTACATTTCACTCAACGAGAAATATCTCGTAGAGAGATAGTATATTCCGGAGAGTGAATAGATGAAGTCAATTAAATAGATCAAGTAAATTAAGAAAATTAGGTAGCTGAAGTAGATCAACAAAATTAAGAACCCACGTACATTCAGTAGATCCGAGTGGATCAAGTAGATTTAAAATTCGGTGATGATGATGGACCAAACCTCTGTCGAGAAAGATCAATAAGATCAAGTAGATTGAATATATCAGGTTTATTTGAAAGCAGAAAGTATCTGCATTCTGCAGGTAGATCAAATACATCAAGTATATCAAGTATTAAGATAGGACATTTCATAGATAGAACTTTTCATATACAAGACATTTCCTAGATAGAAAAGATTTTTCACAGACAAAGAAGAACTTTAATAGATAGGTCATTACAAAGACAGAAAAGCGTTTTTTTCCCAGAGACAATTTGTGGTTTTGGGTTAATAAAACGTGTGTCACAATTTTAGAAAATGCGATCAGTTTGAGAAAAAATACTTTTGAGATCAATGCATATAAATATATTGTTTGCAATGTGTGTGCCTTTAAAAACATGATATCAAAAATTAAAAAGGTTATTAGTTTAAAGTAAAAATATTAATAACAGGTAAAGTAAAAATAAAAGATATCGTAGAAATACTGATTCATTAGATAAGATTTTTCTTATGAAATGTCCTGTCCTGAAGTGTCCTATCTATGAAATGTCAAATACCATGCATCAATTATATCACGTAGCTTAAGTAGATTAAGTAGCTCAAGTAAGATCAGACATATATATTATATCGCGTATAATGTAGAACTAAATGTTTAGGAACCCTGAAGACATGTTTGAGATGAGATACGAGTACAATCAATCAATCAATGCCGCGGACCTTCTCCTACGACAGATTAAGATGCAAGAGAAAGCGGAAAAAGAAGAATCTAAAACATCAACATTAAAATCACTTGATTGATTTGAAATTAAGTAAACTTTAGATTTAATAAATACTGTAATTTTATTTATTATCTGTTTTCTTATCAAGGTTCTGGATCACATTTGAAAGAGTAGTTTCAGGAAAACTAGGGTCGAGGAGAAAATGTTGAAGAAGAACAGTCATTGTTTGAACTCCGTCCTTACTCCGTATTCTATCTGTCAATTCCTCTTTCAACGTGGATGTCCTAAAAATATAAACTTAAGAAAAATCAATACCTTAAAAAGTTAAAAAAGATAGCAAGTATAAAAAATAAGCATGACCCGAGGTCAAAACATTTGAGTGAAATAATATCGCTTGATCTCGATATCAACTGTGTTAACTTTTAAATTTGATAGATTAGTGCTTGATCCCTCAATGTATGACTATTGGACACCTGGGTTTCGACCACGGGAAATACAAAAATTGGTTCAATCCTTTCGGACGACAAAAAAAGAATAACAAAACAAAATAAGTTCTCTTAGATTGGTTTAGAATACTTAAAACCTGTTCAGTTGTGTTACTTTTATTAGGTTAAAATTTAGAATATTTAATGCACTGTTTACTTACATGTGAATAAGCATTACTGAGAGTAATCTCCATTCTTCAGGTTTGAATGTGATGTTAGTTGCTGAGAGTGAGAAGGTTCTAACCAGCTCCCGGAGCGGCTCCTGTATTACCCGGGACGGAACGGAGAACAGATCCAGTACCCCTGGTAGATAGCGGTCTAGTTGATCCAAAACTATTCTAATCCTGAGTTGGGTTTGTGAATGCTGATCTAGGAGGGGAAGACGGGGTTCGTTCTGATCATCTTCAACCTCCTTCTCCTGGTTATCAGATATACAGATAGAATACATGAGGGGGAATGATTCATACCGATGAGGATAACAGAAAAAGTGTAGAAAGACATAAATTTAAACAAGATTTATTAAATGTATAGTTTTCAGAAACCCTAAATACTGATAATATTTACCCGATACTTTTAAATAATTTACCCCTTACCATTACGTGAAATATAACATCTTAGCACACTACGGTCTAATGGTTCTATGTTAAAAGATATTTGCTGTAAACGTGCTAAATTTGTTTCTACAGTGTTAAGATTGTATGATATATATACTTGTGATTACTCAAATCTCCGGGATCTATACAGGATGGATGTTAAAAAACTCATGAATTCATGGAACATTTCTATTCGCATTCTATTTGATCTAACAAGAGAAACCCATAGATATTTCATTGAGCCCATTTATAATGCTCCTCATATTAAAACATGCACTCGTTTTCTACAATTTGTGACCAGTTTATCAAATTGTCATAAGCTATGTATTCGACTTTTAGTAGGTCTAAGTAAACATGATTAAAGAACTGTTTATGTAAAAATATTGAAAATATCGCACAAGATTGTAATCTAGAAATCTAAACGTGGTAACAAAATATGATATACAATCAGATTCCTTTAGACCAAGAATGGAAATTACCCATTCTTCATGAATTTCTCAAAGTTCAAGATGATTATTTTGTTCTGAACAATTTTGTTGATAATGAGATCGCCACCATGATTAACTTTTTAGGTTCCGACTATAGAAACTATAATTATATATCTATACTTTATTCTTGTTTTTGTCTTGTCATATTTACCATTTTAACTTTCTGAACGAAATTGATTTATAATAATATAATAATAATAATAATAATAGACTTAATAAACTCCTAAATTCAAAGAAAAAAATAAGATTGTCTTTCTTCTCACCTTGATTTCTATATTTTCTTCATAAACTTCTTTTCCGTGAAGGAACGCGTTGTATTTACTCCGGAATACTGCGGTTTCAAGCAACAACTCCGGGTTTATCTCAAACTAGACAAATTCCATGTGGCAAACTGTTAAAAAAAATCAAGATGATGTCAAAATACAAACCTTTTTAGCTTCGATTCCTAACTTCTCCGTCCTTTCCAGAAGTTCTTCCAACTCTTCGTCCGACTCCAGGTCTGAATCCGAACCCTGCAGGAGTTGAACAGTTTTCTCTGTAATCCATTCGGACAAAGTTCTTTTTATCACATCTTCAGGTTTTTCAATTTTTAAAGTCGATGATTGTGTAATTACAGGTTTTGAATGAATTTCTCCCGGTATCAAGGTTGTCGTGTTGTGTTCAACAACCTGATTTTTTACTCCGGAGATCTCAGAGTTGAACCGAACCTGTCTCTTCTCATTCGAGGACTTTGTATCACTAGATTTTAAACTTGATTTAACAATATCTTCTCCATCCCGGTCCTCCTCGTCGTTGACGACAATAACGACCTGTTTCTCCGGATCATCTTCAGGAGGAAGATCGACAGTTACAACAAGAGGTATTATCTCCCCCTTACCAGAACCTTCTAGTTTTATACCCGGAGCATCATCCAGGAGTTTAACCGTGTCTCTTGTACCATCTCTACTCAAACATTTCATTATAGTCTTTATAATGATATCTACTAGATGGTAAAAACTAAGTTATACAAAAATAAACCGTTAAAAACCGAGTGAATATTGCTTTTCTTAACAAAATGTCAATAAAAATTTCAAATATTCAGGATATTTTTTTATCCAGAACATTAATTAGTTTATATCTCAACAGCTGGACTTCTAAAACCAAGCTGATAAAAATATTTAAGGGGTAAACAATCTGAATATTTGAGGGGTACACAATCTGAATATTTGAGGGGTACACAATCTGAATATTTAAGGGGTACACAATCTGAATATTTGAGGGGTACACAATCTGAAGACTAAATTAGAAATAAAGAAAAAATCATCGGACGAGGGTCGAGAACAATTAAAATGTTTCCTAATCCAGAGAGGAGATTTATCAAGTTGGTTCCGGAGAAAGTTTGAAGCTTTAAAGCAGGTTCCACTGCAGAACTTCTTCCTCTCCTCTGTATCATAAACTTTCTTATCTCTACATACAATATATAAATATTTCACTTGTTGTATGATTTTTAAAACTACGTTTAAAATGTATAAAGGCCTGAAGCTGGACTTGAGAACTTGGATTTAAGAAAAATGCTTGATCTGGATATCCAATGAGGGCAAATTTAAATTTGAAGATACTCCCATAATTAAAGTTATAAATGCAGGTTATAACTCCAAGGGATATCAAATATCTAAATTAACCCGTAGGTCTACATAAGATAGGGATCAATGCTTCAGCCTGAAATTTACAAAATCAAAAAAGTGCTTACTCCCAACCATTTTACAAGATCTGATTTCTGTTTAAATGGATTTAATAATTTGTAAATTCTATTGAAATAGTATATTGGATTTCCTTAAAGAAATGTGGAACTTTGCTGGTGAGACTTTCAGGATAGGGTTCGGACAAACCGGATATCCGCAGACCTTGATGATACTCCGCTCCGTGCATATATCATCATAGTACTCCTAGTTCACAACATCTTTCTCTACCGGTGTACGTAACTAGAAGTATATTCATATGTTGGATTAGGCTTGAAGAGAACGAACAAGAAAAGGTAAAAAGTAAAGATTTTAATTCAGAACTTTTTTAAAGAAACAAAATTGTTTTAACATATTTTTTTAAGAAATCTAACAAGAACAAATTGATGATGATCATGTTGTCTTCTTTTGAGTAAAAAAGTTAAAAAACAAAGAATTCCTGTTGTTAATCGGGATTGGTTTTTTGTTTAAGGGTCAAAATTCGAGTGTAAGAAGAGCAAATGGGGTTAAAATAGGTTATTTACATTTTTTAAGGATAAAAATGTTGCACAGATCAATAAAAGCAAACTACAACTGAATACAGTTATGTTGTGTGGGAAGTAAAAAAAACCCGAACCAAATCGATTATCAGCACTAGGTACACTTTCTCTTCTAGTTTATTCCTAAATTGATTTATTACCCGTTCATTCGTGTCAAGATTGAATACTATTGGTGGAGAAGATCCCTGGTTAATATGAGCTGTAGCTTCACGGAACCAATCCTTACTCACAGTCTCATCCGTTAACCTGGAGCAGATTAATATACAACCCTGATACTGCGGAACCAATCATTACTCAGTCTAATCAGTACTTCGTACAATCTGTTAAACCCAGAGTAGAATTATATAAAACCCCGTTAATACGGAGGTAATTACTTAAAACCAATCATCGCAATCAGCTTTAATAAATGTTTATCCATCATCAAGGATTTTATTTTTCAATCTAAAGAGTGGATTAACCTTAATTGTCAAGTACTAGTGTAAAATAAGGACAAAAAAAACTATATCTATATAATTCAAGTTGCAATCTCTGTTTGTTTGTCCGATCATAACTCTGGAAACCCTGGACTAATCTACCTCAAATTTTGATTGAGGACCTCGGGAAAACCACGGGAATGTTCTTAGCTTGGTTTTGAAATTCTCAGTTTGTTGGGTCGACTTTGATAGCGAAAATTTAGTTTCCCGGTAAAATCGTTCAAGTGCGGGTAAATGGTGGGAGTAACTATGAGTATTTAGTACCCTGTACAACGCTGGGTTCCCAACTAGTAGCAATATACATTTGCTTTGTTTTAATTCTTTTCAACGTAAAACATTTATCCATTACTCATTTATACAATATGTAAAATATTTTAATGTTAACCGACTTTTATCAAACTTGATCTAATGCTTTCCTCAATTTCCCTATGCTTCAATGCTTTATCGGTTTGAATAGGAATCCATTCGCTCAATTTCCACGCCAACCAAAAAAAAATACAACTTCTTAATTCATTTTTCTTGAACGTTTTTATCTCATTTTTGAAGCCAGCAAAACTTCATAAAACTTTGTTAATTCACATTGATGTTAGCTCAAGATCGAATTTTTTCCAACTTCCTCAGCCCCGATAATGGTGAATTTAGACTTCACATCAAAACTTTAACCCAAAACATTATTCCATGATCTGTGAATTGTACTGGATGAGTTGTTGTATTAAGAACACGTTAAATGCCGAATACAACTAGAAATGGGATTGTTATTCATAAATCCCGATCCATTGAGTCTAGTTTAAGAGTAACCGCTTCACTTCCACAATCTGTAATAAAACCAAATAAACAAGAACATTAAAAATTATCAATTATCATGAAAGCGTACTGCAGAAACTGTAGACACTGCGCCAATGTCAATATAAAGGCAAACCGTGCCCAGTAATTGCGACCAAGCTAGAATTGTTCATAATAATTTACTCCCTCTGTTTAAGGATCTGTCGACGTAATTTAATAAGACACCTGCACGATTCACAACGGTACAATTAACTTTTGTTCGACTAAAAAACATGAAGTTTTCATTTCTTTCCATACTAAGAGATATACTTTAAATTTGTGGTTAAACTGGCGATATTTTTACAATGACTACCAAGATAAAGATTACCGTTGTTAATCGGTACCTTCAAATATACGCAAGACAGTACGCCTTTAACTAATATGATAAATTGTATATAATCTGCCTAATAACAATAGACAGAGCTTTCTCCTCGCAGCTCTTCTTTCGTAGAAGAGCAGCAGCAACTTTCTCTTTCTTCTGCTCCTCAGAGAGTTTACATTTTTTCTGCTTAGATTTATTCATCTGAAAGGAGCATTCGACATCTTTAAATGCAAAATTTTTATGTTTATTTTTTTTTACACAAGAAACAGGTATGAACAGTACAGTGAGAGAAAACGAACTCTCTCTCCAGTATGAGGTTTGTAATACAGATATTCAGGAACGGAGGGTTTAGGGAGCTGCGGCGGCGAGAGGGTTCTTCAGGACTAGGATGACGGAATCCCCGCGGAGAAACATCTTGGCAATAAACCTGTCCTTGTTTACAGGTTTACCCTTCTTCTGTCCTGAAAACAAGTAGAAGGGTTTAAAACCACCCGAAATTAAAAAACTGAAGAATCAAATCCTTTTAAAGTATTAAGTCTAGGTTTGTTATAAAGAATTTAAAGATAGAATAACTAAATTTCTTAGTCGTGCTAACATAGGTGTCATTCTTTACATCTATACTTTTCAGGTAGAGCATAAACAACCATAGTGTCACTATGGTTGTACCTATGTTTGCACGACTAAGAAATTGGGCAAAAAAAAATGAGCGAAAATCTTAGAAATTTCTAAACATTGTCTTAAGTATTTTTTTGGCGATGAGTTTGCTTAAATTATTAATAATATTCTAAACCAACCTTTTCCGGTTTTAGGCATCTCAGTCCACATCTCCTTCACTTGTTCCAACACCATATTGCAATGTCTGAACAAATTTTTTATTTAACATAAGAAATTGGAATTACCAAATTATCCAGACTTTTTTGGGATAAAAAAATCTATAATATTTGTCCTGAATTTTTCTATGACTTTGAAATCCCAAAAATAAAAAAAGAATACCTTTAAAGGGTCATTAAAACATTGTGATAATAATTTTTTGTTAAAAATGTCAAAATTAAAAGACAAAAATTCCTCAATCATTAAAAGATATAAATTGCCACCTGTCGAACGCCTTGACTCTGCCGAGGAGTTTCTTGTTGTTCCTGCAGTTGATGAGCACTTGAGTGTTATTCTTTACACTGTCCGTCAGCACCCTGGGAAGAAGATTTATAGAAATTTAGGTTATTTGTTGAATAATTTAGAATATTTTGTCATATCATACTGAAGACTTGTATTAGAAGTTATAAAGGATTATAATTTATAGAGCTCAGAATAAATAATTATGAAGACCACAAACATTTTCTACTGAATCAATTTAAATGTTGTCCAACTCCACTTAAATTACCACAATGAGTCTGAGAATAAACTCTTAATATGGCAAGGTGAAAGTTTAAATTCTCAATCATATTTCTGACAAAAAAACTTCAGACAAAAGAACGATACTACATGGAGGAATTTACAAGTAAATATGGGCCTGTCCTAGTGAACGATTTTTGGACCCCCCCCCCTCCTA